GCCGACGTGGTTGCAGAATTCCTGCCGGAGATCCTGATGCCAGCAAACCTTCATGTGCTCTTCAGTGAGGCTGGGCTGTTCCCGGGACGCCCCTGAACAGGGCTGTGCGGCTTGCAGGAAAGGTCAGGCCAGATCACGTCTGAAAGCGTGTGCGTGAGCATGCAGGTCCGTGGCCCGGAGCCCGCCTGCTGTTGCACCGCGGCCTTGCCTGTTTCAGGGTCAGAGGAAATTCAGGTCTCTGGCTCCGCAGAAGCCCTCAACGTTACCCCTCCTTCCGGCACAGTCCTCTGGCTCTTCTGTGCCTCACGCGGCCCAGTGCTGAGCACCCGTCTGGGTGCCTGGGGCACCTTTTCCCTGACGCCGTGGGTGCTCTTCCAAGGTAGGTGATAAACCTTCCCTAATCGCTGTGCCAGCTGGGCTTGTGCTGAGGTCGGCGTGAAAGCATTTGTTCTTTAAAACCCCGAGAATGTAAGTGTCACGTGAGTCCTGTCTTTGTTGCAGGGGGCTGGAGTTCATTCTTTGCTTTTCCTTTGGGAACTGAATTCTGCATTCAGTTAGAAAACACCACGTTCAAGTTATCGCTTGTCCCCAGACCTCACTGCCTTCACCTTTCCCGCTGGAACACTCCAAGCCATGCTTAAATCGGGTACTCCTTTCATTCCCTGGACCAAGGACCAGTGTGAGCATCTTAGAGTCATTGTTGAGAAATTAGTGTAATCTGGCCTTTAAGGTCTATTCAAACACAGACCCCAAAACTCTTGGTCCTGAAGTGTTATCACAGGTAACCAGGGCAGGGTGTGTGCGGAGAATGCTTGTACACAGGCCCCCCAGGGAGAGAGGAGCCCGGATGAGCACATCAGACTTAACGGCCACAGTCTGTGCTCGATTCCTTCCCCCGTTTCTAAAAGTTGTGTTAGAATGCATGTAACATAAAACTTACCATCTCAACCATTCTTCAGGGTTTTAAAAAATATTTTTAATTTAATTTAAACTGTTTTTGTGTGGGGGAAGGTCATTGGGTTTATTTTTTAAAGGGGAGGTGCTGGGGATTGAGCCCAGGACCTTGTGCACGCTAAGCACAGGCTCCACCACTGAGCCAGACCTTCATCTTAACCGTCTTACGGTGTGCGGCTCAGTGGCAGTAAATGCACTCACACTGTTGTGCGACCTTCACCACCATACACCCACACAACTCTCCCAGCTTCCCGAACTGAACTTCTGTCTTATTCAGACTAACTCCCGAGTTTCCCCTCCCCTGGCCCCTGGTGCCCAGCAGTCTGCTTCCTGTCTCTGATTTTGTTGACCCCAGGGACGGCCTGTAAGTGGAATCACACAGTACTTGCATTTTGTGACTGGCTCGTTTCACTGAGCATAATGTCCTCCAGGTTCATCCAAGTTGGAGCAGGTGTCAGAATTTCCTTCCTCTTTAATGCTGAATAATACTCCGCTGTGTGTATTCCCACTTTTTGCTTATCCACTCATCCTTCGATGGACACTGGGGTTACTTCCATGGTGTAGCTACTGTGAGCAGCAAAGCTGCCATGAACACGGCGCACGGACGCTCCTAGTTCATTCCCGGGACGTCGGGGCTCCATGCCCCGCTGGGAAGTGCGTCCTGAGAGGAGGGCGGGCAGGGACGCCCTGCCTCACCTGGTGCGAGTCCTGGCGCGATTCCCTTCTTCGTGTTTTCCTGTGCTTTACAAATTTTCTAAACTCAACGTGTGCTTATTTAGCTCTCTGCAAATACAAGTGGTGTGTCGTCCAACTGTGGTGTGCTACCGGCTGGAGAAGTGATTAAATCCAGCTGACCCACAAATAGTGAGATCACAGTATTGGCCTTTCTCCCTCTGGCTTGGTTCACTCAGCACGACGCCCTCAGAGTCCATCTGTGTTGTTGCAAATAGCGGGAGTTTATTCTCTGTGTGGCTCTGTTCTCTTTGTAGCATTCCACTGTGTGTGTGTATTTATTTATGTACATATATGTTAATGAAACTTACACATATATATCTTGGACCTGTGAATATGTGCTTTACATATTTGGGAGCGCCCACGTTGGGTGCATGAGTATTTACAAGCTTTACACCTCTTGCGGACTGGCCCCTGCATTGTCTAGTGCCCTTCTTGTCTCTGATTAGACTGTCTTACAAAAGTCTCCTTTGCCTGATGGAAGCACAGCTGCCACAGCTTTCTTCTGGTTTCCGCTGGCAAGGAGCACCTTTTCCTAACCCTTCGCTTCCGGTCTGGGTGTGCTCCTACGTCTGACGCCTGACGTGCAGCAGCACAGAGGCGGGTCTCGTTTGCTGTAACCCATTCAGCTCCTCTGCCTTTTGACTGGGAGGTTCAGTCGGTTTAAACGTGGAGTGATTACCGACAGGGGTGCACTTCTCGCCTTGCTGGTTTCTGGCCGTTGGGGCTCTCCTGCTTCCTTCCCCTCGGCTTGCTCTTTCCCTTCACGGTGTGACAACTCTCTTCAGCGGTGTTACTGGATTGCTTTCTCATTATTTTGTGTGTGTCTACTACAGGTCTTTGCTTTGTGGTGATCGCGAGGCTTACAGCTAACAATCCGCATTGATAACATTCTACTTTACGCTGACGACAACTGAAGTTTGAACACATTCTAAAGCTGTATGTTTTCACTTGTCCCCCCAACACTGTATGTTGTTGAAGTCACATTTTATTATCTTTTGTCTTCTGTATCCCTTAATATTATTGCAGTTACTACTAGCTTTATGTGATTAACCCACCACCTTTACTGTTCATTTACTTTTATCAGTAAGAGGTATCCTTTCATGCTTTCTTCTTACTAATTAGCACACTTCTTTTCAGCTTAAAGTGTCCATTAAACAGTTCTTGTTAAGGCTGGTTTAGTGGTGGTGAATGCTGTTAGCCTTCGTTTGTCCAGAAAACTCTCGCTTTCAATTCTGAATGATAACTTGGCCAGGTAGAGCACTCTTGGTTGAAAATTCTTTTCCTTTTAGCACTTTGAATGCACTGTGATACTCCCTACTGGTCTGCAAAGTCTGCTGAGGCTACCATGGGGCTCTCGTGTATGTGACAAGCTATTTTTCTCTTGTTTTTTTTTGAAGTATAGTTGATTTACGATATTGCATTAGTTTCAGGTATACAGCATAGTGAATCGGTATTTTTACAGATTATACTGCATCAAAGGTTATTGCAGAGCAGTGGCTGCAGTTCCCATCCTTGTTGCTTGTCTGTTTCATGCACGGTAGTTTCTGTATCTTAATCCCTTACCCTGATATGCCCCCCCGCCCCGGGCAGCCACCAGTTTGTTTCCTGTATCTGCGAGTCTGTTTCTGTTTTTCTATATACATTCATTAGTTTTATTTTTTGGATTCCACACATAAGTGACACCACATGGCATTTGTCTTTCTCTGTCTGATTCATTTCAACACACATAACATTCTCTAGGTCCATGCATGTTGCTGCAAATGGCAGTATTTCATTTTTTTTTATGGCTGAATTGTATTCCATTTTATCTGTCTATCTCTCTGTATCTATTTATCTATCTAATCTCACGTCTTCTTTATCCATTTATCTCTTGGTGGACACTTAGGTTGCTTCTGTAACTTGCCTATTTTAAGTAATGCTGCAGTGAACACTGGGGTGCATGTATCTTTTCGAGTTAGTGTTTTCATTTTTTCCAGATAATACCCAGGAGCGGAATTGCTGGGTCATATGAAGCAAAACTCATGTGAAAAGAGCTCTTCCCCAGCACATTAGCTTGGGGTCAAGCGGTTTCAGGTCAAGGAATGTATTTACTTTCAAAGCTCCGTAGAGGAGGGAGTGTGGGAAATGGCACTTGTTTCCTGGGCTGGGGAGACCAATGTGGAATCATTTTGTTTGCTTTTTATTAACATAACAGTTAATGCTTGGAAATGTCGTTCAGTGATTAAACGTTCTCAATCCCTGAAAGCTCTCTTTTTATGAAGATACAGAGAAAACAAGATATGTGAGGAACTGTAAGTGGGGAAAAGAATTTGAATATTGACTTGGGATGTCTTCAGGGTAAAAAATATTTAGGAGACTGACATTAGAGGCAGAAAGGAGGAGGTGTAGTGTTGGAATAAAAGGTAATTCACACAACAGTATTTCTGAACATCAGAAAATACTTTTTGCAGGTTATCATCTGATATGAAATTAAGATCTCAATACCAGTACTTTCCAGGTAGCTTTGCAACTTGCCACAAGACCCCACCCTGTCTGTGGCCACTTTGTGTAAAACTGTGAGATACTACATAACTTGTCTCCTTATCAGCTGAAGGGCTGGCTCTCGTGGGCAGTGTCACAGGCTCTGGGGCTGGCAGTGTGCATTGTGACTAGGTCAGGGGACGGGTGTTCGCCAGGTGTGGGCACCTGCATATCTGACTCCATCACGGAGCTAACTCAGAGCATGCATCCAGCTTCAGTGACTGCCTGCACTCCAAGTCACAGGCTGTGACAGTGACTGTCTATCCGCTTGAGTTTCCCTAACCCTAAGTCGGTAAGGTGATGTGCTGGTAAGGCCGTGGTTATCTGTGCCTGTTTCTTCCAGGAATCACTGGTGCTCGCTGCTGTCACTATGGTGTTTGTAAGTTACTGACAGAGTGGACCATGATGCTGCATATTATACACTGAGTAATGTCAATGATGAAGCGTTAATGGAAATTTCACAAACCAGGCTATATTTTGAAAAAGCTGCATAGTAAGTATTCAGAAAAGTTTTTTCAAAAGGACTGCAAAAGAAGGTTCTGGACCTAAGACATCTATCTCCTATCAAATAAGTGGTTATTTGAAATGACCTACTACCTGCTTGAGTTTGAGCCCATTTTCTCTGTAAAATGGGGACAGTACCACTTGCTTCATGGAGAGTGTGTGAGGATTAAGTGAAACATGAGAGGCACTTGGTAACTATCAGAGGGTTTCATCCTGAGGAGGAAGCTCACCCCTGCTCAGCATGGACAGTGACATTCTCCTTGTATTTAGAACAGAACTGGAAAATATTAAAAGCAAAGAAAAAGGTTTTATTCTTTGATATATAAAAACAAGAAAACTTTAATGTGTATACAACATGGTTTTTTGTTGGTTTTTTTGTTTTTTAATAAGAAGAAAATGGCAGAAATATAGACCTGGGTAGAAAAATACACTAAAGCAGCTGTTTGAAACAATTCATAACTCCTAACATTATGAATAGCACACAAATCTCAGCATAAGACTTTTTTTCCTTTAAAAATTATTCACATTTGTATAACAACTTAAAACATGGTAAGAAATATAACTTTCCTCAGTAACACAGTGGTTTATTTGACAAGATAATTCAATAACCAGCAATAACTTAGTAAAAGAACATTTCCTTTGTGATAGTAACTTAGCATTAGAGTTTTGTTTCTATAATACTTGTGATAGTAAAAAAGCACTGCGGACTCCTGAGGTGCCGAAAAATGTTTGTACAGTTCATTGGAGCCCGTGGTTTTGGGGGTCCTAGACCTCAAAGGGGGAGCATCTTTGGTCTTCCCTGTTCTTGGGACTGTAACAGTGATCCTGGCATACAAATGAGAGAAACAAAGGCGCAGGAGACCACAACTACTCAGTAAAAGCTATTCCTGCCCAATAAATAGTTTCAAAAAGAGAAATCACTTGCTTCCCACCTATCAGGAACATGAAAACGCTGAGATGACTGCTTTCATTGTGTTACCAGCCTGACAGCCATGAAGTCAGGACAGTTCTGCCACTGACCAGCAGGGGGTGCAAGACCACAGGAGAAGCGGCTGCACAGTCTCCCAGAGGGCAGCCTACAGAAATACTTCTATCTGCATTTATGTGAACGCTGTTTTGGGTTAAAGTTTAGTTCTCATAGTGTAAGTTTAACAGTGTCTCCTTGACATTGGATTCAAACAGAAAATACACGTCATATAAAACCTGATTGGATCAACATGAATGAACCTTTAAAATGACTACGTTTGTAAATATAGCTAGAATCAAAGGGAAGTGACGATGAATTTAATCTGTGTCAAAAATCTTTACATTCCACGTGACTTATTATTTAAAAACAAAGATAACAGGACTTACATATCCCAGTGGCTGTGAGCCTTCAAAAGCCCGTGTCGGACCAGTGCTAGGCTTGGCCATCATTTCTGGTGGGGCCATTTCAAAACTGCCCCTGGAGTCACGATGCACAGGCAAAGAAAGTCTGTGTCCCAGAGTAAATACTGGCCTTTGATCACAGATGGTCCTGGTGAGTGTCACCTTCCCCTCCAGCAGAGCTGGCTGCCTCCCCTCTTTAAATTCACCCTCAGAGGCTGGACAGGGCACCGCTGGTGGCCTCACAAAGCTGTCCGCAGGGGCAAGGCCACTGCATGAGGCTGGGGAGTTCCACACCCACTTGGCTATTTGAAACAGGACTGAAATGCCGTGAGAATCTGGATTCACCTTCAACAGTCATACCTATTACAGGCTTGCGTGCATTTGCTCTTAAAAGCCAGGTTCTCCTTCCTGCCCTAAACCATCAGCAGAATCTGTGCAAGTTGGCAGGAAGCACAGTGACATCGTGAATTTGACTGTTAAAAAAAGCAATTTTAAAGCTTCATTTAAAAAGTGTATTTTTTAAATTTAAAGAGTCAGAGGCTTTCTACCACTTTACAAAGGTGCGGCCTGCCCCTGCCCAGTACGACTGTGCATGTGTGTGTTCTTTATATTCTGTGGAGGAATTCTATAAAAATACAGTATTTTTCCTATCCGTAAGTTGAAATAAAGAGTAGGGTTGTGGGAGAAAAGGGAGGGATAAATACAAACAAAAAGGAGAAGTGAAGTGTACAATTCTAATTTTAAAATTGGAATAAAAATTTAAAAGCATTTCCCCTTGGGAAACTGACCTGTCTGATGCCTGCCCCTACAGGGTGACCGCCGGCCCATGCTCCTCCACCCCTCCCGGGGGCAGGGCCAGGCTGTGGCGGGGGTCGGACCTGAGGGAGCTGAGCAGCCGGTGGACGCTGCCCTCCCGCCCAGGGCTGTGCAGCCCGGGCGCCAGGCCAGCGCCGTTGACCCGTGCGAGGCTGCCCGGCGTTGGCCTGGGGACCAGCCGGGGCTCCAGGACGCCCTCGAGGACCACGTCGGGCTCCTCATCGCTCTCCATCTCGTCGGTGGGCAAGTTCTGCAGGACATGGGCTGCTGGCAGGCTGTGGCGGCTGGCTGTGCTGTCCGAGGAGCGGCCGGAACTGCCAGACACACGGCCGCAGCGCACCACGTTGTTCCGCTGGTTGGCCGGCTTGACTGTGACGATGAGGTTGTGACTGTTGGCGATCATCATGTCCGTGACCTGGTCCAGCGTCTTCCCAGCCACCTCGATCCCGTTCACCTCCAGGACCTCATCGTCCACGGCCAGCAGCCCGGTGCTCTCAGCCAGGCCGCCGGGCACCATGCGGGAGATGAAGATGCCTGGCACCTTCTCCAGCCCCTGTGGGGCCACGCGCACGCTCGTGCCATCGCGGATGTAGAAGCCCAGTGGCTTCTGGCAACCGTGCCGGTACAGCCTCACGCGGCGGTGCGTCTCAGGGAGGATGTCCACGTCGATGATGGAGGACACGGGGCGGAAGTCGTGTGGCAGGCCGATGTGCAGGTGCGCGCGCCGGCGAGGGCCGTCCTCCCGCAGGGCCAGTGGGCGCCGCCGCCTGGACAGAGATCCTGCCCCGAAGCTGCAGTGCTCGGCCTCTTCTGGAAGAGAGCAGAGGGGACGGTCAGAGGACAGGCCGCGGGAGCACCGGGGAAGCACACATCAAACAGCTCCCACCACCTGCAGCCTGAGGCTGGCCATCCCGGTCAATCCCCCTTTCTGCTGCTTACCCTCCCACTGCTTCTCTGACTTGCAGTGACCCCAGGGAAGTCTGAGGCATTGAGCCCACAACCAAATCATGTGCAGAACTTACTGAAACACATCTCACGCATATGCCTGAGAGCTAAACGACCAATCCATTTTGTCACAGTTCACTCTTTGGGGAAGTCTCAGCCTCCAGGGTGATATGCAAACACACTGGAGTAACTTTCTGAGTTGTTCTGCTGAGCCCAGGGCAATCCTGGCACTGGCTGAGCTGGCCCAACTGTGTTCACCAGGCAACTGCTTGATGCCAAGTTGAAGCGCAATCACCTCCCTAAAACCAGCTCTCTAGAACTCTCCAAACTGAGCCCCAGGCAACCAACAAAATGATTTCCAGAGTTGCCATATTGTTCATCTCCAGAGTTCAATAAAAAATTCACAAGACATGCAAAGAAATGAGCATATGACCTATTCAAGGGAAAACAGTGACAGGAGCTGTCCCTGAAACAACCTGGTGGCACAGTTACTTGAAAAAGATTTGAAAACAGTGGCCTAAGACATGCTCAAAAAAAGCAACAACAACAACAACAACAAGGTGTGCAGAAAGTCAAGACAGCAATGTGTGAACAAAATAAAAATATCAACAGACAGAAAATCTAAAAGGAAACCAAATGCTGAAAAGTACAACTGAAATCAAAAATTCACTAGGAGCATTCAGAGGCAGATCTGAGCTGGCAGAAGAAGGCGCCAGTGAACTTGAAGACAGGACAATGTCTGAGGAACAAAAAGAAAAAAATACCAAAGAAAAGTGAACGGAGCCTAGGAAACCACTGGGACGCCATTGAGCAAACCAATACACATGAAGCGACAGTCTCAGAAGGAGAAGAGGAGGGACTGTTCGAATAAATGATGCCTGAAAACTTCCCAGATTTGATGAAACGTACAAATGTAAACATCAGGGCTCATCAGACTGTATGTGAGATGAACCCAAAGAGACCCAAACCAGAACACAGTATAATCAGACTTGATAAAGACATGATGTGACCTCATATTCTCCAGGGCAGAAGCAGTAATTTGAAAGGAGCCTGGGTCAGACCCACCTGCTGATCTTGGAGAGGCTCCTGGAGCTCCCCTGTGGACAGAGACACCAGTGGCAGCTATCTTGGGGAAACTCATTTTACCACATGGGCAGTGATGCTAGCAGGTGCCATTGTGGAATCCTCCCTCTGCTTTATTAGCCTTGGAATCTAGCCCTGCCCCAGCCCAATAGCTTGTAGGCACTGGCACTGGGAGGCCTCAGGACAAGCAACTAGCTGGGTGGGGACACAGCCCACAGACCAGCAGGTAGGCTGCCTTAAGACTCCTTGAGCCCACAGCCACCCCTGTCCACCAGAGGGCCCAGGCCTGGCAGCATACACCAGTGCACTGGCACTAGACCTGGGACCCCAGGACCCTAGGCAGAGACCCTAGGACCCAGCTCCACCTACCAGTGGGTAGGCACCAGACTAGAACCACTGCAGCCAGCAGTCTGCCATGGTAAGATGCAACCCACCCACTAGCAGAGCAACACCAACTCTGGGACACCTAGGGACTCCTTGGTCAGGAAATGCGTCTTAGAATCACCTCTGGTCTGAGAGCCCACTGGCCTCAGCCTCACAGGACCAGCTGACCAGCCGCAAACAAAGGCAGCCTGATGGACACAGACTTGCCCCCCACTCACAGCCACACTTTCTCCCAGGCACCGCACTCCTGAAAGACACACAAGAAGCAGGTCCGGCAGGCGAGGTCAGGCCGGCGGGGCCACCACGAGGCCAGCCTCACGTGACCTGAGGCTGCTACCAAGACACAGGCTGGAGTGGTTCGGTGAGGCCAGAGGCCCCTGGCTGTTCTCTGGGAAGACACCTGACTGTGTTCACCAGGTGGTGGGGGACCACGTGGCTCCTGATGAAAAGGCTTCACACGTCTGTTTTAATTGGCAGGCGGCAGACGGCTTCTCTCTTTGCAGTTGTTGTGTCGGGAACGAGATGACAGGAATAAGAACCGTTTATGGTAGCAGCATAGTCTGCTCACGCTATCACCAGGCAACACCAGGAAGGCGCACACCTGCATGTCCCCCACCTCTGCCCGCGCAGAGCTCCCCAGGGCCTGGGGCGCGGCGGGTTGGGGGGGTCTTGCCTTGTCAGGAGCACTCGTCAGACTGAGAGGGAGGGTCCCAGACCAGTGTGCTGGAGAGAGGGTCCCGTTCTGCTCTGCTGAGCCATGTTCTGAAGCTCCTCTGGGCACCGGGCTAGGGGCTGATCCTCAGCTGGGAGGAGGGAGACTTGTGCCAGGAAATGTGGGGAGCACTGCCTGCTGGGGTTGCTGAGGAGAGGCAGGCTGGTCTCAGAGGCGAGGGCTGGTGGGCCATGAGGACAGTTCCAGCAGGAGGAAGGGTGGGGCTGGGGCCGAGCAGGGGGGATGGGAAGAAGCAAGGAGCCAGGGCAGCTCCTCTGGCTCTGGCCTCTCTGCTCCCAGAGGCTGCAAGCCCCCTGGGGATCCTATTTTACACAAATCTTGGGACAGGCACTTGGAAGTCCAACTTGGAAAATAGGCAAAGTTATATAAAAGTAACTTAAAATTTTTTAAATTTGAAATTTTCAGATTTGGAAAGTGTAGAATCATGAGGGTATCCATGGTTATTCCCCACGTTATAAATATGTTAACTTGTGGGTGGACAGTATCCCCTTTCAAGCGCATTGGTTTTTGGTAATTCACTAGAAATTTGATATTAAATTGAACATTAATTTAAAAATTCATTAAAAACTTTTTAAATTGAGAAAACTATTAAAAATGCTTAGAAAAACAATCTCAGGGTTCGTAAAGATTAGCAACCGCCCCCCTTGCCAAAACCCCAAGCCCTCTAATCATGAAGGATAGGAAAAAAATGCCTTAAAATATAAAAGGCTGCAAATCATCACATGGGACACGCACCAGGCCCAGGCTACCTTCGTGAGGGCAAACGTTTTATTGTGGATGTCAGCAAACTGATTCTAAAGTTCATACAGAAAAACAACAGGACCCAGAACAGCCAATGAAACATCAAAGGAAAAGAACACAGTTGGAAGCCTGACACTGCCCGGCTTCCACACTCACCACGAGGTAAGACAGTGTGGTGCTGGGGAAAGGACAAAGAAATGGATCAGCAGGACAGAGAGCCCAGCAACAGACCCACGCAAACCCAGTCAACTGGCCTTTGACAAGGAGCAAAGGTACTTCAGTGGTGGAAGCACAGTCTTGTCAGTGAGCGGTGCTGGGACAGCTGGACACATCTGCACAGACCCCGCACCCCTCACAAGAACTAGCTCACGATGAGCCACAGACCTGAATGTAAATGCAAAACTATAAAACTCCGAGATAACAGGGGTGAAAGTCTAGGTTAGTGACAAGTTTTAATCACAGCTCCAAAAGCGTAATCCATGAAAGGAAAAGGACATAAACGGGACTTTATTAGAATGGAAACTTCTGTGAAAGACACGGTTAAGAGGACAACAACAACAAAAGAGACGGGCCACAGACTGGGGGAAGTATTTGCAGAGCACATATTTGATAAAGGTCTTGTATCTAAAATACACAAAGAACTCTTAAAACTCAACAAGAAAATAACACAATTAAAAATGGGCAAAAGGTGTGAACAGACACTTCACCAAAGAAGATACGCAGATGACTAAATAAGCACATAAAGAGACACTCCACATCATGCCATCAGGGAAATGCAAACTAAAGCAGCAATGAGACACCACTGCACACTTACTAGAACACCCC